CCCCAAAACCCCAAAACCCCAAAACCCCAAAACCCCATCATAATCACATTATTGCCTAATCAACATAGTTTTATATCTTATTAAGTCAAAATGGAATAATCAAGTGAGAATAGCAATAAAAATCAAGGCTTCCTCGACAAGGATTTCGATGAATAGATCAACCTTCAGCCACAAAACTATATAACAGATCATAATCCACAAAATTAAATTAGCCTTCATGATGAACTTTCTGGTTTTAATTCTGATGAAGAGCCTGCTATTCAAGAAGAGAGTAAATAATCTGATAGGAATGTGCATCAAATTCAATATGATAATGAGAATCATAACTTAGAGGAGAAAAAGGGAGATGCTGAAGAGAATGGAAGTAGCTTCATTGAATATTCGCCTGTGTTCAAGACATCTACAATTCCATAGCATCAAGAACTTAAAAACTATCTGTAAAACTTGCTGATTTAAGATCCTTACAATAAATTCTGTGTGGATTGCCATCATAATGTGAGTAGCGTAGCTTGTCTTACCTATGGTATCTTTATTTGTCAGGCATGTGCTCACATTCATAAAGTAGTCTTTATGGGAAGATCCCAGTCCTAAGTCAAAGACATTTTTAATGAGTGGTGGGATGACTATTAGCTGGAAGCAGTGTCTCCCGAGTTCGGAGGCAACAAGAGATTCTTCCAACTCTTGCAGGAGTACAACATCCACACTTTGACTATCCAAGACAAATACTAGCACAAAGCTGTCAAGTACTATGCTCGTAAACTCTAAGCTTTAGTTGACAAAAATTAATAGTTTAGAGAAGACCCACCTGCCAAGGACTGGAATGATAGATTGACACGTGCTTCTACAGTAGTTCAGAAAAGTTTAGATAAGTATGAGAAGAAAATACTAGACATTGGAGACAAGATAGATGCAAAGATAGAAGAGAAAGGTTGGAGGAAATCCATTTCAGGGTTCTTTAAAAATAAGTTCAGCAAATCTAAATCAGTGCCTCAAACTGGATCCTTGTAAGCTTCAAGTGCGGGCTAAAGTAACTCAGATTAATAAAATGTTGGGTTGGATGAGGATGAGAACTAAGAGCCTGTAGTACTTTAAGAAGATGCACTTCTAGATTAAAATAATAGTAGTCAATAGCCATTGACAATATCGGAGTCATAAAACAATTAGACACCCGGTTTTAACTAAAAAGCAGGGGATCATGATGATAATTATGATGTACCTAAGATTTAAAAATGATCATGATAAGATATATCTAAAACAATGACAGTTTTATGTATCTGCCTATCTTAACATCAATATAATATCAGAAAAATAAGTTACCATAAGTACTAGCATTTTCATATTCCCTCTAAATTATGAAATTTGACTCTCTGGGGTTTTGGGGTTTTGGGGTTTTGGGG